TTTTTTTTTTTTTTTTTTTTTTCTTTTTCTTTCTTCACTGATGAACACCGTGACATTCGTACAATATATGTGATACGTTGTTAACATTGAGAACAAAATTGGACGACAAAATCGAACAAACGTCGAGCGAACGACCTCGCTACGTGATATATTTTAATATTTTAGTTACTTGATGAATATCCAAGGTAGTGTTTATATAGTATTCTCGATCTTAAAGACGTTGTGATGCTCAATATATGTGTAATTAAAATTCAAATTAACCTAACGTTTACTCAGTGCAAAAAGTTAAATGGTAAGAAAATGTTGTGAATTATATTTCTTAAAATTATGGAAACATCTCTCGGACGAATCTATCCTTTCTTTTCAATTTACCATCCCTTGTACCAACCACCGTAACCACGATATCCGTAACCGTATCCATGTCCTCCATATCCTCCATATCCTCCATACCCACCGTGACCGTAATATAGAGGCCAGCCTGGATACCATCCAAATCCATACCTAAAATTGTATTTTGTGAACGTCTTCTGTTACTCTCACAACGAAATTGCTTCAAACATTCTTGCGCAGAGATTTAGTTTCGAGGAATTATCAAGGATAGGCGACAGATTTCTGATGAGAATGCAACTGTAAAGATATCTACCAATAATCCGCGCTGCTTTATAAACACTTCTTTTCACTCTAATTTTCTGACGATCAAATTAACCTTCGTAGCCTACAACTGAAAGTTAAATTATAACTTAAAGTCCATAATGGCACAGGGAATTTGTCAACACAATGCGTTAAAGTACCCGAAACTTCTTGTTGACGATATAATCCGCAATAATCTCTGAAGCGAGAGCTATTTGTCTTTTTTTCGCAAAACCTTTCGAGATTCGAAGATGAAACCTTGCAACAACAATCTACTTACCAAGGCCAGATGTAACTATATCCTCCGTGGCCCCACGGGTGCCAACCGTAACTTCTTTTCGCCACTTTTTTATCGTCAATTCCATCCTCAGTGTTTGGCTGAGCCTGATTGTCGGCAATTATCTTTTGTGACACGTCACTGTCACTCGACACTTTCTCAAGGGTGCTGATCGGGGGCACAGTGGCTACCCCCAACGCGAAAATGGTCAACAACAGCAACAACTAAAACGATGATCAGACCTCGTTTGCATGATCCAGCGAACTAATGTCGTCAGTGAGTTTTTACAAGTTACAAGTTACAGGTTGCCCACCAGATCGAATGAGTACGTCACTCTTTCTACGTGCTGACTAAGCACTCGGTACTAGTTTGTTTAGCATTTTTAGCAAGCAAAACTCTCTAAATTTCAAGATTGCATCCGAGTTGCAGCGTGAAATTGCAAGCGCGAATTTTGGCAGCCTGCAATTTGTTCAACTTGCCGATTCACCGACACCATTAATTGGCAATTATGCAACACGATGCTGTCGTCACCAGAACACTCGTCTCGATTCCTCACTGTGATTGTGAGATTATTCTTACCAGAAGATTCATGTTAAACCTGAACTCACAATACGACTGTGTGGTCCAAAGAATGGACAGTTCTTTTATACCTGGGATACTGTTTGGAAATTATCGCGAATTACATATACACCTACTGAATTCTAGATTCTACAAACTATTTCCTGATGCCTAAGTTAGTCCCTGTTACACTTTCCATCCGCGGAATAATTGTGTGTCTCGTAACTACTTACGAGCGCGAATCTCGCTTGGGCCGAGCGAAAGCACAGAATCTTTAATGGGAAAGCGGACACGTAATCGAAAGCTGGTTTTATTGTTATGGTCGTTATGGCCGACCGTCCAGTTTCGTCGAGCCTGATCCAGTGTTTTTAATGGCACGTATTTCCTCGAAGCAAGCAAGCAAGCAAGCAAGCAAACGCTCACGTACGTAGGCAGAGAGATTTTTATCTGTCATATATCGGGCATACATCTGTAATTCAGTTGACGTGAGTGCGTAATTGAATTCTTTTCCACGGTTGACGATTAAAAACACGAATGGATCGATGAATCAAATTTCAATCAATTAGTACGAAGCTAAACAGAACCCAGGTTTCCTATGTCGCAACAGACATCCCACTTCCGCCGATCTCAACTACCACAATCTCTAAGGCAACCGATATTTCTCTATTGATGTTTCAAAGCAGCGGCTCCAGCTAACCGATAATCAAGCGCAATCTAAACAATCGTCGCATCGTGAATATTACGCGCGTGTATCTATGTGTGTGTGTGTGTGTGCTGACAATTTCACGGCAATTTCGCCGTGATTGTAAAACACATGCGGTCGCATGCGAGCGCATCCATCTGCAATCTGACCAGCCGGTAATGTACGCCATCCGGCATTGTTCGCGAAAGAAACGGGATAATGAGGCGAACGAAGCTGGGAACATTCTCAAAACACGCGGGCTTTCGCGCATCGTGCAATTAGTCTACCCGGGTAATTGAGTAATTAGTTAGACGGAACAATCGATCGAGTGAAACCGTGGCACTCGAAGCTAGTCGACTGCCATTTGAGTAGGCCAGTAAAAACCTGTAAAAACCTGGCCCTTCTACCGATTCCTTATCCCCAGTGGAAAATCTGTGTCGTTCAGTTTTTCTCTCTTCCTCGCTCTCCCCCCGTAATTGTCCCCTTAAGGAGGTTTTGTCGCTCCAGTCCAGGAAATCGAACCAGCGGCACCGTTTACCGGACTGGACTTTCTCTGGGTGGAGAGCAGGTGACATAATCGACATACTTACACAGAACGTGTACAGCTGGCAAATATCTAAACCTGGCTCATTGTCCATCGAACGTAATGGCTAGCTATCGTTGCTAATATGGCCGTCGTTGCCCTACCTGACCGAGTGGACGTTTCATCCAAACATTCGTACCTCTTGCATATTGGAAACGAGGAGCGCTGGTGAGCTTGATTTATTTTCACCACTCGGACCATTGATCCGATGTGTGTCGGTATCGTCAATTAACCGACTTCCTACGTTGCGTAACAATAGCACAATTCTGTAGCAGTAAAATTGATAAGGCGGAAAGCTTCTGAAGAAATTGATTGTTCGGGCGTTAAGGAGATTCCTTAAATGTCTTGCGTAAGATCTCAGCGCGGACTTAATTGCGATAGGGATTTTTGAAAGAAACATTCACTCGGTAGTATAAATATAAATTTGTGCGCTTCAGTGAGTTTCAGTTTGTCTACTAACGACGAGAAATATTTCAAATTTCCTAGCAACAATTGCGAGTAAACATAAAACACTGTACGTTTCTTAATAAGTAAATTGTTCACAACTTCTGCCCCTTCCCCCCTTTTCCTTTCGTTTAACAATCGAAATTTCAGTCAAACTAATTTTCCTTTCGATAATGAAATTCAAAGACTACGTTTAAAAGTAGCATCCGGCTCGTTGACTCGTCTAACTAATTGTATGTTCCGTGGTTACATATGCAATTAAAGGCAGACGCGTGACCGCGTCGAATCTACTGTTCGCGTCTTAACGAACTGTCGTCGTTAGACGCGATTCTGTGTGCAATATCACGACGTCCTTTCCCCGCGTTACGGCGCGTGCCGCTTCAGTTGTCACAAATCAACGAGCAGCTCTGTGCAATTCAAGTGAAACTCGACATTTCTTTCCGATGTTATGCAAAAATCCATCCCCGCCAGCTAAGGTTTTCGTTTGACGACGCTCGAGCGCGACACCGGTCTCGCGCAGTCCTCGCGACATCTTCAACTACGAAACTATCGTTCGCGCCACTTGGTGAAACTTTCTCTATTCGACGAAATTTCACTCGCTCCGACGTTTCGTCAGAAAATCGCGCTGATATTCATTCAGAAATTGACGCAAGATCCGATTAGAAAAGAGAAGGAAAAAAAGTCACAGTCAAGGAAGAGTTATGTGGCAACCAAACAGATCGGTGACGATCCGAAGATAACGCGATGCTCGCTCGTTGCCATTCGGTGCGTAAAGTGTAACTTCCAAGCAGAAGAGTGCAGAGAGTTTACAATAATGAAGCTTAGGACACTTCGCCTACTACTATGTAACCTGTGCGTGGTGTGCACTTTCGTTCAGTGCAGCTGGAGCAACCGGGAAACTCAGGGGATGCCCACCTCAAACGCTTCGTCAACGGAACTTTACGACGCAAATAATTCACGGGACAAACGAGCGTTCGGCCTTGTTCTCTCAGGCCTGGCGCAGGTTTTCGGCTACACTGTAAATCCTGTGCAAATAGCCTCGTTACCCAACCCTAATAATTCCGAGGCAAGAGTCACCAACAATACTCGAACGAACTCCACCAAATCCGATGGATCGGCTACCAGACAACGAGAAACGATCAGATTCACCGGCGTAGTCAACCTCGGCAATGGAACAAACGTGCTAACTCACTTACAACAGTACGAAAACATTTTCCACGGAGGGAACGGTAGTTCGTCTTCTACAAGCTCTCCACCGCGATTCGATCCAGCCCCTGATCAACCACAACCACTGCCTCCACTCTTGGTCAAAATCCCTCTGCCGTTTATGCCAACCTCACCTCCTCTTCCCGAGATCCCTTCGCAATTTATTAATCTATCCTACCCTGAGCCGTACGTCGTTCCAATTCGCAACACGACTGGAGACACGGCGTACAACAAGAACACGACCGTGAAGAATGAATCGCCGATCGTCGTAGGCCGTCTTCCAACTACGTCTGCTCCTTCTATCCAAGATCCAAGATGGAAGGAAGAGTACGAGGACAGGCTTGCGGAACTGGAGCGAAAGCAGGAGGAACACGCGAAGAGATTGATGGAACAAGAACGATATAGGAATAATCAAGAGAAGAATTATGGCGACGGTAGTCCAAATGCCGGCTCAAAGGGACGAATAAATCACGCAGGTCAAGATTCAGCGTGTAAAGGAGACGAGGAAAAACAGTCGGGAGAAGAAGATCAATCGAGAGAGAGATATGAAAGTGGAGAGGAGATTATTACGAATGAGAAGGAGGCTAAGGATAGTGAAGGAGAAAGGCATAGAGGTTACAAGAACGATGATATTTATAAAGAAGACGCGCCTCGTCAGACCTTCGGTGAAAATTATACCAGTATACAATATGGCAGTGAACCACTGCCTTTGAGCGAGGACGACGAACAACGGAGGCCTGAAGACCTTCGTAATAGTTATGGAGAACCTCTGTTTAACAGGGAACTATTTGTTGACGGATTTGCGAATTTCTTTGGAAAATTCAGGCAACCATTAAGCGATATTTATAGCTCGTTGGCGCCTGCCGTGTCGAAGGAAGAGACGTCGGGGCAAGAGGAAGATACACCTAGTGAACAGAAAGACGAAGACAAAAGTGACGAGAGGAGCAGGGAAGAGGAAGATGTTCCAGCAAGGAATAAATACGAGGAATACACTTTGGAAGGGGCGGATGGGAAAAAGTCTAAAGATAGTTACGTCGAATCGCCAGTGAAAATGTTCAACAACGAATCGAACGACGAGAGTTCCTTCGAAAATCGAGAAACGACGGATGAATTGAACTTTAGTAAGTTCATGCCTCTGATCGTTCCTGTTCGATACTTGTCTGCACCCGAAGAATTAAGCAACACGCAGCTGAAGTCATCGACGAATGAAGAACCAGAGAGGAATAATGCATCGAGAGCGGAAGCCTCGAAAAAAGTTTCGTCTAAAGAATCAAAGCGACCAAAGAAGGAAAATTTGAAGCCAGTGATGGGTCTGGCAGAAAGAAGAACACCGAAGATACTTCACGAGACTGAAGAAAAAGAAATGCATGTGTGGCCACCGCCATTCGACTTCGTTTTCGACAGTACAATTCACACCAACATCGTTTCAGAAAATCCAAACAATAATGATAACATCAGAGTTTCTATCGGTAGAGAATCCGAGTCGAAACTCAGTAAAACGGAGGATAAAAGTCAAGTAACACTTGATAATTCAACTCAAAAGCCTCACGACTATCCTGAGAATATTTATCATCGAAGTTTCAAGAAAGAATCCGAATATAGAACAGTGCCTGGCAGACAAATGATAATGGAAGATAGAACTGCAAATGCGGAAAGATCGAATAGAACAGATTTTGAGATAAATCACGATACGATGAAATCTAATCGAGATAGTAACAACGGGAAAGAAGTACCAGATTTTTTCGAACGTTACAAATACATTTCGAATGACAATAATTATGGAATCGCAGAACGACCAAACATCGGTATAGAGAATGTTGCAAAGCTGCGGGACTCGAGTTCACTGCATTCTAGAAATCTCGAATCCTCGAAACGTAGTGTTGAAAGAAACGAGCAACCTTTGGAACGCAAACAGCAGTTGAATGCTCGAAATCGTATAATGCAAGATGTACCAGTTTCTCAACACAAGTTCCAATCTACGATGTTTTTCGACCCTATGGAGAATTATAATTTGTTCAATTTTGATGGAAGTGTTTATGACCTGAATTACGGGAGGGGAAGCGAGAGATTGCCTGGAACTCCCGAGGGTGATAAAAAAATTGGAAACGAAGAAAGTGCTAGCTTGATCATGCCGCAGCAAGACACGTATAGTTATGACGAAAGTTTCACGAAATTCGCCGGTGAACCGGAAAGTAAAGCCGTGAAAGTCGAAAATTACGCGAACGGTGCTACCATTATGAGAATGGTAGAACAAGAACACATGAATCCAAATGGACCGATTAGTTATGTCGATTATTCTCGCATTTTATAGTTTCTTTTCTTTTTCTTTTTTTTTTTTTTTTTTCTTTACGA